TATATAATAATTTCGATATTTCGAAATTTTTTTTGCTACACCGTGACTTTTTTATTTGGTGTTTTGATTTAGAAAAAAAAAGCTATAATATAGATGGCAGCATAAAGTGCGTAACATATTGCTTACCTTAAAATAAACTATCCCCCATAATAAAGGCTATGTTTCCCCCTTCCAAAAAATAAGGCGAGTAAAATGTCTACTACTCTATAAAATATTTTGCAAAAAGTGTAGTAGTTTGGAGGCCTGTATTTTCAAATAAGTTACATATGATGTGATACTTTGAATTTTTGATATGTAGGGGTGGAAAAATTACTTAAAATAAACATACTAAAAGTGACTTAAGTTTGCGTACCACTAGAATTTTTATTTTATTTATATAAAACAGCAAATTGGCAACATTGCAGAATGCGGAATAGGTATACGACCAATTTTGCAACTTACTTTACTTTACTTACAAAAATTGGGCACCTGGGCCACTTAGCGGCCCCTATCCCATACATCTAGAAATTTACAGAAAATTTATAGTAATAACATTTTGAATTTAGCAGTCGATGTGGTAGCTAATAGAAAAATAAACACTTTTCTTGAGTAAATATAACATTTGAATTTCTGATTCATCGAATCTAAGTTGACATAAATAAATATTAACATAAATTGATATATATCAATTTTGCAACTGAACGGTTGCTATATCTAGGTCTGCCAACTTTCTACACTTCTAGTGGTAGCTAAGTTAATGCTTTAATGTGTATTATTCCATCTTTTATAAATTTGAATTAAAGTTATTTTTCACACCACTACTACTTGCAAAAGATTTGAAAGTTTATATAAAAATACAATTCATTCTAACCTTCTTTTGGTAAGAAGACTATTAAAGTGTTGTCAAAATAATCAAAAATTCTGTAAGCTTCAGTTTTTATTGTCTGCCACTCAATAAAATATTATTCAATATAGTTGACATCTTTTGTGTGTAGCTTAGCAGAAATAATTTTAACTTATTGCTTTTATATCCCTCATTTGATTATTTATAGAAGCTTATGACTCATATTACAGGAGGTGAAAGTGCTCTAATTGGCGCTGCAGCATCAGTTATGGGATTAGGAAATGATTTATTCGGAAGTGTAAGGCTACCTGCTCATTTCACTGGAATATATTCTCATAAGCCATCAAGAGGTAACCACACTCTTTTACTTTAACCCTTTCGTGCCGACTGTCACAAATATGTGCCAGCATAAAACCGTATCAACCAGGGTAAAAAGATAAAACTGGTAATCAGAGTAATTCTTTAGCAGTTTATTTGTGGGCGGAGTTATAATTGTTTGATTTATATAATTCTCCATTACTTTATTCAAAATAAAGCTATTTAGTTATACTTTGAATTAACATAGATTATATATATGATTAAACTAACAATAATTAAAGTAAAAGCAAAGTAAGTCTGTCAAATTAGAAACGACTACATTTAAGTTACCGTTTTTTATTTAAGTACATCCTGATTCTGATTTTGTATGAATGCTTTTCTGAATCACCCGTCCCCAAAGGGTTAACCCTTTCGCATCGACTGTCACAAATAAGTGCCAGCATAAAACCGTATCAACCAGGGTAAAAAGATAAAACTAGTAATCAAAGTAATTCTTTAGCAGTTAATTTGTGGGCGGAGTTATAATTGTTTAATTTATTTAATTCACCATTACTTTGTTCAAAATAAGAGTATTTAGTTATAATTTGAATTAATATTGATTATATATATGATTAAAGTAACAATAATTAACCCCTTGAGGACGGGTGATTCAGAAAAGCATTCGTACAAAATCAGGATCAGGACGTAATTAAATAAAAAACGGTAACTTAAATGTAATCGTTTCTAATTTGACAGACTCCTTGCTTTTACTTTAATTAATGTTTGTTTAATCATATATATAATCAGTGTTAATTCAAAGTATAACTAAATACTTTTATTTTGAACAAAGTAATGGTGAATTAAATAAATCAAACAATTATAACTCCGCCCACAAATAAACTGCTAAAGAATTACTTTGATTACTGGTTTTATCTTTTTACCCTGGTTGATACGGTTTTGTGCTGGCACTTATTTGTGACAGTCGGCGCGAAAGGGTTAAAGTAAAAGCAAAGTAAGTCTGTCAAATTAGAAACGACTACATTTAAGTTACCGTTTTTTATTTAATTACATTCTGATTCTGATTTGGTACGAATGCTTTTCTGAATCACCCGGTCCCCAAGGGGTTAATCGTCACTGATTTGGAATAGCGTTAAGTGCAACAAACCCAACACGTTTAGGATGATAGATTTTTTTTTAGAAAAATTTTAATATAAATTAAAAGTTGGCATCATGAGGTTTTAATTAAAAATGCTTTTTTTTTCTCTTCATTCCAACAAGTGAAGTTATGAGACAATAGTTGTTAGTGAAATTTTTTTTGATTTTGAAAACATTTTAAATCTTTCTACATTAAAAAGCTGTAAGAGCCACCGCTGCTTCATCTGTTCAATTTAATGTTGCATTTTGTTTTGCCGCGCAAATACTATAAGACTTAAGAACGAACTAGGAAATTGAAAGAGTATTAACGAAGGGATTACGAAGGACTGAAAAAATAATCATTCGATAATAAGTTCAGGAATTATTAAGTGTTAAACTTGTCGGAACGCATACCCAACGGGCCCCTTTACAAGACGCAGGAATGCAACAGCAGAGTTTAAACTTGACATGCTGAAAGGGTCATATTTATTTATGAACTAACAGAGAATTTTTTTCCAAAATTCTAATTTGTACAAAAGTAAATGCATAATTAATTGTTTTTTTTCGTGTGTGTGTGTGAATTTTTTCTTTCTATTTTTCGTGTTCCGTCACATTGTTCTTTACCGTGTAGAAACTTTGAGACTGAAAAGCTGAAAATCACAATAGTGTCTGAAAAAAATTACGAGGAGTTCGATCGAATAAAAAATTTCATGATTCAATAATAACTTCAAGAATCATTAACTGTTAAATTAGAAGTTAAAAAAAATTATGTTAGCTAATATCTACTGCCAGCTAAAACAAAACTACACAGTTATTCTCCTTGTTTGATTGGACCATTTCGAATTACAACGATAATTTTTTTCATAGTCCTACATTGAAAGTTTCTACAATTTCAACTCATTTCTGAACAGAAAATTTCGGCTAAAAATTTGATCAGGCAAGGCATTAGGCAACTGTGACCTTAGACAGTACATTCTAAGTAAAGAAACATACTTAAGCTCTTTGTTCTTTTTAGAATAGTGATTAAAAGCAGTTAGTTTTACATTTTATTAATTTGTAACATTTATTGAATTCATGTTGTCAGACTGTCTACATTGTACCGGGAAGGGTAAGTATTTTTAAGAATTTCTTATTCTTTAACTAACAATTATTTATCCATTGCTGCAGAAAAATTTCGGTCTTTAGCTTTTGTGTTTTATAAGTTCTCGCTTGAGTGGATGTCAACTGCTTTGGATTTGATAACACTGTTTTTGAAACACGGTTGAGAACTACTCTAGCTAAAATTTCAGATTTTTGGTTAATTTTGCCACCAGTTTATAAGGTTTAACATCTCTTAACTTCAATGAAGTTGCCTGTCGGATAAGCCTTTGAACTATTTAGAAAGAGTGGTGAGTAAAAATCCCATAAATCGAATTCACTTTTGTCCAGAATCATGCATTAAAAGACTACCACTCGAAAATATTTATTTCTTGTCCGGAGAGGAAACTAGTAGAAGGTGAGATGGAGTACCTGGCCAATGAGGCTACCTCCGTAAGGAAGTAGTGTCTAGTACCTGTAGATGTGATTCTTTTCTGAAAAGGAAGTATATATACTTATGTTTAGTGGTAAATTACATTCTTTCAATTCTAATTTATTGAATTATAAATAATAAATACATTACCTTTGCTACTATGAAAATATTTTCTGGAAACTAAGGAGAATCCGCAGAAGTTGGCGTCTATATAGTAATATTTAAATTAAAAATAATTTTTGCAGTTTATTTTTAATAAAAATATTACCATTTCAAGTATTACTGTTAAGAATATTTTTCAGTTAAAAGCAATGAAATCTTAAACAGAATTTATCTAGTAGAAATGCGTGAAAGAGGTTTTTTTTTTAGAAAAAAAATTTGATTCATAAATTTAGCAAACATTTTATAAATGTGACTTAAAATTCTGCAATTTATTTTCAGTGTTATGAGAACAGGATTTTCGGATGTGGCACAAATTTCCCTCTCTGATAACAGTTTTGCAATATTTTAGGTTTGGTTCCGAATGGAGGATGTATTATAAATCCAACTGAAGAAACCTCAAAATTTCTCGAAACTGGACCAATGTGCAGATATGTAGAAGACCTTGTACCGATTATGAAAATTCTGGCTACGAACAGCACAGAGAAACGTGAGATCGAGCGTAAAGTAAGGAAATTATTTCCTCAGTTCATTACTGGATATTATGTGACACGCTACATTATAACACACTCATTATTATCACAGCAAATTGAATATTGAGTTACCTGCATTCACCATCGCCATTATTTTCTAAATTATCAGCTACAAACTGTGGACTAAATTCCTCTATTTCTAACTAAATTCCTGTGGACCTTGAAAAATTTTAGCAGTGGTAGTAAATTTAGTTTAACGCCAGAAGATATTTCTTATTTTAAGATACCACTTTGTCGTTAAGTGATTCAGAAGGTCCTAGTGTTTTGATTTTATTGGGCACCTGGGCAACGCCTCCTATAACTGAAAGCCTCCACACGGTTTTTTATAGGTAGTCCGATCAGACCACCGTGAAGGATATCCACTTTCCGAACGAGTCACATAATACAGAACATAGTTAAAATAAGAAAGTGGTAGCAAATATATAACTAAAAATTTATTTTATTTATGAATATTATTGGTTTGCCTTATTCACTTGTCAACCACTACAGATTCAATTCTCTACTTACTACTTCAATTCTCTAATTACTTTTATAAAAGGTTTTGGGTTCATGCGCGAAACTGGTTCACTTTTTAAACAGTCTGTGCGAACTACTTATAAAAGACCGTGTGGAGGCTTTTTGATGTAGGAGGTGATGACCTGGGCCGCGAAGCGACCCTTATCCCTTTCATCTGGAATTTTGACGCTGTTTTGGTTTAGCATTGAGGTAAGCAGGCAGTGGAGTTGCTTTTATGAATGCAGAGATGCCAACTTGCTCCAGACAGCAAATATATATTTTAAAGTGGTAGTTTATCAACTGTGATTCTTGGTTTAATAAATTCAATTTAGTAGATTTTTATCCACCACTAATTGTAAATAGGTCGTAGGCTTATATAATTCACCACTTTATAGTACTTAAGTCATGCTGTACCTTTTAAAAAGCAAGCAAAAATGGTCAAATATTTGCAAAATTTACTTTGTAGTTATTTACCGTTTTTTTTAATTATTTTGGCGTGTCCAGAGCAGTTGGCATCTCTGTGAATGTTTCAAGCACTTTGCTTGAGTAACTAAAAAGGAATCAAAATGATTTAGAAGGTGGGATTTTCTTTCATGCATACTTTCTTTGGAAAACAATTTTTAGTGGTAGTTACGCAAAATTTAAATTAACGACATTTGTTTAATATTCGTTACCACTTTTTTTAAAATTTACTAGTCACGCGGGAACCCTGTGTGAACTTATAGTGAAAAAACCATGAAACTTACAAAATTAAAGAAAAAATGTTTTTGTCCAGGATTATAAAATGAAAATTATTTTTTTTTCTCATAAACTCATTGATTAATCTTATACTAACCTCAATTTAAGTAATTGTTTTTTTATCCAACTGAAACTATTTATGCGCAGATGTGGCATGAAGGAATTCATTGCAATTTTTTAGTTTTTCGCTGAGGAAATTTTAATTCCAAATTTCCATTTTCTTTAGAACAATATTGATACAAGTTTTTAATTCTTTTGAGGCGCGTATGAACTCCTTTAAATTTTATTTTAAGAAGTCGGCAAAAAATTCTATTTCTAGTATAAACGTTTATTTATTCATTTATAATTAATGATTTTGGATTGTGGAAATACTTCTATAGTAACTTTCGTAAACTATCTGTCTTTTAGCGGCAAATGTTTTGGAAGATTTTAACGAAAGAAAAAATTGCTTTTACAAATTTAAACATCACGTTTAAGGCTTTTCGGAAAGAAATTGCATAAACCGCATAGTATTTATGACATTACATGATAAATGACATTCCTTTTAGAAATTACATAAATTTTGCAAATGCAAAATTCAGATCAACCAAAATGAGGCGTTGAAAATAATTTATTCCTAGCTTTAATAACAGCAATATTTTTTTAATAACCGTAGTTAAACAGCCGACCCAATTTTATGGGTTTACGACTACTATTGTTCATCTCCGTACCCTCAAAATTTTGAACCCAATCCAGAAGACAAAGGAACTCCTGGATCGAGTATTGAGAGAAATTTGCCCTCGTGGAGGACTTTTTGATGGAACTAACCCGCATTTGTGTTACATGGAGAGAAAGACCACGAGAACCTCCCATGGTTATCCTGACGGCAAGGGACTCTAACCCATTATTCGTCTACCACTCAGGATATTTCACGTCAGCACTGTGGTCGATGCAAGCCGGATGCGGAATTCGTATCGAATGGGATTCGAACCCGGTATGTTCATTGGAAAGCGAACGCTCTATTTCTTGAGCAATTGATATTATTATGTAGGATTGTGATTTTTATATTAGAATGCTTTTTTCGATTGTGGTATTGAAAAAAAGAAGCTTTTAACATCCTACGCTCCCTTTGGTTGACCTGAACTTTGCCTTAGTAAAAATGGCGTAATTTCTAAAAGTTTTAATCAGGATGTTTCAAATTCTGCCAACAGTTTTGCCACGTGAAATATTTGTTGTTAAAAGAGAAATTGTTTAGATAGCGTTAGAGTACGGAAGTGTTTCTATAAGTTTGTCCAACTGTGTAACTCTCGTTGTTAAAAACGATGAAAAGAATGGCACCCCTGGCAATGATTCATTGCCAGGGGTGCCAACAGCTCCTCTTTCTGGAAAAATGGTAGCGAAGTAACCTGTAAAATTTGTAGATTAAAGATAATTACGCTTGCCCTTTAGATGAGTCACCACGAGACTACTGAATTAATGTTGCATATTATATCATACTTTGAATTATGATATGTAGTGGTGGAAAAATTACTTAATCATTCTTGCTTCATTTTTTACAAAATGAAGCAAGTATCCATCCCTGGGAAACTAAGATGTTTGCCAACTGTTCCACTTGTTTCAAAAGTTTAGAAATATTTAAACTTTCGGAAAGCATCTTCGAGTTAGTTAAGTTTAAATACAGGGGTGCTAACAACTTCGCTTTCTCAAAATATTTTATGAAGTGGTAGGCAATTAAAAATTAAAGCCTTAAGAATTTTAGGTAACTTTGCCAAAATTTTAATAGTCTCTCCACTATAGAACAGGAACAAAATAACATTTCTTATGAACTTTTAAATCAATTTTATGTAGCGTTGCGGAAAATGCAGATGTTCCGGTTAGGTGGTCAGCCGAACGCGAAACCCCTAGTATTTAGTTTCCAAGCATGCTTGGTACTCATTTATCGACCCACTGAAGGGATGAAAAGCTGAGTCAGCCTTGCCCGGCCCGAGGATCGAGCCCAGGACCTGTGGCACGGGAGCGCGAATCGAGTTACCGGTTCAGTTAATTACTGAACCTCTTTACTTTTACTTCATTTACAAAAATTGGGCACCTGGACCACTTAGCGTCCCCTATCCCATACATCTAGAAATTCACAGAAAATTTATGGTAATAACATTTTGAATTTAGCAGTCGATGTGGTAGCTAATAGAAAAACAAGCACTTTGCTTGAGTAAATATAACATTTGAATATCTGATTCATCGAATCTAAGTTGACATATGTAAATATAAACATAATTTGACATATATATACGTAAGTTGACATAAATAAATATTAACATAAATTGATACATATTTCGCTAATTAAATTTCAATATTTTAACTAGCACATATTTAATTATGACATACATTGAAGTTCATTCGAATACATTGTAGTAGCCATAAAAAAAAATCAAGCCTTTCGCTTGTGAAATAATAAAACAATGAAAAATTCAAAATGACAAATTGACGTTTTTACATAACATTAGAAATATTGATTGTAGACTTTAATTTAAAATAAAGATATAACATGATTTGATATGTACAATAATTGATTTTTGAAAAATGAAGAACATAATTGATGAATATAGATAAATTATACCTTGATTCATGATAAAATAACATATTTGGAGAAAATGCAGTAAATATATTTTAT